GCACTTGTTCCCAGTAGCTATTGTTACTACTAGTAAGGCACTTGTTCCTAGTAGCTTCTTGTTAGAACTGGTAAGGCACTTGTTCCTAGAGGCTTCTTGTTACTACTAGTAAGGCACTTGTTCCTAGTAGCTTCTTGTTACTACTAGTAAGGCACTTGTTCCTAGTAGCTTCTTGTTACTACTAGTAAGGCACTTGCTCCTAGTAGCATCTTGTTACTACTAGTAAGGCACTTGTTCCCAGTAGCTTCTTGTTACTACTTAGTAAGGCACTTGTTCCTAGTAGCTTCTTGTTACTACTTAGTAAGGCACTTGTTCCTAGTAGCTTCTTGTTACTACTAGTAAGGCACTTGTTCCTAGTAGCTTCTTGTTACTACTAGTAAGGCGCATGTTCCTAGTTGCTTCTTGTTACTACTAGTAAGGCACATGTTCCTAGTAGCTTCTTGTTACTACTAGTAAGGCACTTGTTCCTAGTAGCTTCTTGTTACTACTAGTCAGGCACTTGTTCCTAGTAGCTCCTTGTTCCTACCAGTAAGGCGCTTGCTCCTAGTAGCATCTTGTTACTACCAGTAAGGCACTTGCTCCTAGTAGCATCTTGTTACTACTAGTAAGGCACTTGTTCCCAGTAGCTTCTTGTTACTACTTAGTTAGGCACTTGTTCCCAGTAGGTATTGTTACTACTAGTAAGGCACTTGTTCCTAGAGGCTTCTTGTTACTACTAGTAAGGCACTGTTCCTAGTAGCTTCTTGTTACTACTTAGTAAGGCACTTGTTCCTAGTAGCTTCTTGTTAGTACTAGTAAGGCACTTGTTCCTAGCAGCTTCTTGTTAGTACTAGTAAGGTACTTGTTCCTAGAGGCTTCTTGTTACTACTAGTAAGGCACTTGTTCCTAGTAGCTTCTTGTTACTACTAGTAAGGCACTTGTTCCTAGTAGCTTCTTGTTACTACTAGTCAGGCACTTGTTCCTAGTAGCTTCTTGTTGCTACTAGTAAGGCACTTGTTCCTAGTAGCTTCTTGTTACTACTAGTAAGGCACTTGTTCCTAGTAGCTTCTTGTTACTACTAGTCAGGCACTTGTTACTAGAAGCGATGCACTTGTTCCTAGTATCTTATTGTTCTAGTCGTTTTCCTGAGGTGCTGGCCGAAATCTTGGCAGGTGGCTTTAAGCTGCCAAAGATTTCTTGAGCAACAGGCAAATTCCACAGCGTCTCCTTCTGACCGATAGTCACATGTAGGAAACCTGCAAGCTCTGCAGTTTCTGTGGATGAAACACAAAGCAAAAGGCCAAGCCACAGCTCTCCAAGCCATTTGGCTTTCGCAGCTCTTCAAGAAGTTGGACTGGAACCTAAACGATCCGTCCGATCTACGATCAATACCCGCTCCGTGCACTCCGATCAAGCGGTCAAGCGGCTCCACTGGAGAAGACAGCTGCCTCATCTACCGGGGAGCAAGCCAGTCTGGTTGGCCTAAGGACACCAAAAGATAGCATCATGCACCTTGCTACTAGTAGTTTCTTGTTACTAGTAGTGAGGCCGGGAGTTACTAGCGATGCACCTCGCGACTAGTAGCTTCTTGCTACTAGTAGCGATGCACCTTGCTACTAGTAGTTTCTTGCTACTAGTAGCAATGCACCTTGCTACTAGTAGTGTCTTGTTAGAGAGTTACTGGTAGTAATGCCAGGAGCTATAGTACCTTCTTGCTACTAGTAGCGATGCACCTGGCTACTAGTAGTTTCTTGACCTTGCTACTAGTAGATTGTCTTTACTAATAGTATCAGTATAAGTGCACCTTGCTACTAGTAGTGTATTGTTACTACTAGTAATCCCAGCAGCTACTAGTAGCTTCTTGCTACTAGTAGCGATGCACCTTCCTACTGGTAGTTTCTTGCTACTACTAGCGGTAATGCCAGGAGCTACTACTAGCTTCTTGCTACCCGTAGCGATGCACCTTGCTACTAGTAGCTTCTTGTTACTAGTAGTATTGCCAGGAGCTACTAGTAGCTTCTTGCTACTAGTAGCGATGCACCTTGCTACTAGTAGCATCTTGTTACTAGTAGTATTGCCAGGAGCTACTAGTAGCTTCTTACTACTAGTAGCGATGCACCTTGATGCTAGTAGCTTCTTGTTACTAGCAGTAATGCCAGGAGCTACTAGTGGCTTCTTGCTACTAGTAGCGATGCACCTTGCTACTAGTAGGCTCTTATTACCAGTAGTAATGCCAGGAGCTACTAGTAGCTTCTGTTACTAGTAGCTTCTTGTTAGTAGTAGTATTGCCAGGAGCTACTATTAGCTTCTTGCTATTTGTAGCTATGCACCTTGCTACTAGTAGTTTCTTGTGACTAGTAGTAGCTTCTTGTTACTAGTAGCGATGCACCTTGCTACTAGTAGCTCTTTGTTACTAGTAGTAATGCCAGGAGCAACTAGTAGCTTCTTGCTACTAAGGCATCATGTCATCAATGTGAAGCTCTCTAGTAGCAAGTGCATGACCACACTTCAGACTTCCCATCACCACCAAGGCACTGGTCACCAATGAGGCCACCTTCAAAGTACCTCATGCTTCGAAAGTGTGCAATCTTCAATGTCAGTTTCATCAGTCGCAAAGTGCCTTGCTTGTCCTGAGACATGTCATTGATACTTGAAACATCTTCCAACCTTGTATCTTACCTGGCTTAAAGGAACTTAATGGGGTTCTCGTGCTTGATACTATACCGTGCACCCATTTTGGACAAGCAAGCTTGCACAACTGATTTTGGATGAGCCGCCCTTGGCGAGCACCTTCATCCCACGCAGCGAAAAACCTCTTGGAGGACCTCAAATACAACGAAACATTGCAAAAGTCCAAGCGGCGTTGGCAATCAGTTCAATTGGTATACTTTGTGATTTGCAGATACATGCAGTACCTACTGTCTACATGTATATCTCTCTGTATCCTCGTTCCCTCGAATTCGTGCTAAAAGGATCCAAAGGAGCTGTGATGCTGGAAAAGACCTGTCGAGACACAGGTCCAGCTCCGCTTCTTGGCGGTTGGCCCACAGGCTGCGGCGTCGAAGGGTCTTTTCCACCAAGGGCGGCACCCATCTGTGAAAAATTTGGACGTGAGATCTTCGCAAATTCTCAGAGCCCAGTCTCAAACTATCTCAAACTCCTGGCCTTTCAGAATTGATGATGGGCAGTCCCACCATGCTCGCGAGCTTTTCCTCCACGAACAAATACATTGGCTCGAAGATATAAATGCTGGAAAATCCTTGAGAAGGAGAATGCTTGTCAGAATCATGTAGCTCTCAAAGGCTTTTGCACTCATATGAAATGCTTGGAGGCTTCAAGGCCGAGCAAGGTGTGACCCAGCATCTTGAGTAAAACCATGCATTTGGGCAAGGCAACAATGTTTCAGATGCTGGCGCTTCAACACCGAGCTGCGGCTTCGTGCGGCTTGCGTGAGAAGCAAGGCTGCACCGCCAAGCGAATGCCCTAAAGTCAAAAGCAAAAATTGCAGAGAGTCAAAGAACCGGGTTGTGCCAACTTACTAGCGATGGCCTCCAACCTAATAGCGACGGCCTCCAACCTAATAGCGACGGCCTCGAACCTAATTGTAATGGCCTCCAACCTAATAGCGACGGCCTCCAACCTAATTGTAGTGGCCTCCAACCTAATAGCGACGGCCTCCAACCGAAATTGTTTATAGGCCTCCAACCTAATAGCGACGGCCTCCAACCTAATTGTAATGGCCTCCAACCTAATAGCGACGGCCTCCAACCTAAGTGTAATGGCCTCCAACCTAATAGCGACGGCCTCCAACCTAAGTGTAATGGCCTCCAACCTAATAGCGATGGTCTGAACTTGTCGTCCAGTACGTCAAACGGTACAAAGAACTTCAAGAGTATGGTCGCTATGCAGTGTCTGGACAGCACCTACTCCGACAATCTTGTCTGGCGCCTGACCGGCAAAGAGATGGAAGTGAAATCGCCAACAGAAGTGATTGTTACTAGTCGTTGTTACTACTAGTAAGGCACCTGTTACTACTAGCGTGGCACTTGTTACTAATAGCTTCTTGTTACTACTAGTAAGGCACCTGTTACTAATAGCTTGTCGTCATAGTTGAGATGAGAAGTCTTGCAGTTCCAAAGGGGTGGCTATGGCTGGCATATTCTTGCCGTAAATGAATGTTCTGGACACCCCTATCCTCCGTTAAGCACCGGTTTTGGAATCTCCTTTCATTTTTTCTTTCTTTCCTTCTTGTCTTGTCTTTTCTTTAATTTCTTTCTATGTTCTTCTTGTATTTTTGTTCTTTGTTCTTTCAATGCGTTTTTTAGACCATGAGACCGTTCTTTCTGTTTTTTCATGTTACCTTTAGGCCTGTGTCTATTTGTCGTTCTTTCTCAAGCCCTTTAGACCTTGTTTTTTCTGTTCCTTTAGACTGAGTAGATGACTTCACTTCGTCCACTTTGGCCTCCGGCATCTCGGCCACGAAGTCATCCAGAACTTCTTCGACTTGACGCTTCCACTCCATCCAATCCACTTCCTCCAGCGAGGAAGTGAAGCCGAAAAAGAAACCGAAAACTGCTGAAATCCTCGATGCATCTCGATACACCATGGGGACCATACCGATACACCATACATTGTTCACCAAAGCCTGAGAGGTGCTCGACACATGACCTGCCTTTGAGCTCCGTGCTGCTGCCAGGCCATGGCCTTTTAAGTCTAAAGACAAGAGTTGCAAATCGCCCACTGACCAGCTCAAGACCTCGGAAGCGGACTAAGCGTCCGCGGTCGAAGCGTCGGTCTAAGCCAAGCTTCCGCTCTTCGATCGATAGTAGCGACCATTGCTCCTAGTAGCTTCTTGTTCCTAGTAGTAAGGCCAGGAGCCCCTAGTAGCGTCCTTGCTCCTAGTAGCGATGCCCTTTGCTCCTAGTAATGTAGACTCTTGATTAATCAACCCACCCCCCGGCCCCCCCCCTCAACAACCAGGGCCTCCAATATAATGTATAAGAAAACTAATCAAAGGACCAAAATGAAAAGAATCCTTATTAAAATCTTATTGGTCTTCTCTGGCAATATTAAAAATCAAAGGGAGTCAATGAAATCTCAAATTGAAGACATTTGGAATACTAAAGTAAAAGGAAATCAATAAAGTGGAAATGGAATTCTCAATATTTTAATGGAAATCTCAATCCAAAGACCTTCAAAAGCATCCAATCTCAATGGAAATCTTCAACTTTTCAAGAGCTTAGGTAAGTAAAGCATAGCAAAAGGAAAAGAAAGGGAATGAATACAAAGTTACTTAAAGCAAAATAGTTTTTAAGCTTGAAATCTCTAGACATTATTCTAGGGGCCCGCCCTAATTTAGTCAGAAAGCTGCTTGCTGGACTACCCCCTTTGCTTGAATGATGTGTTTGTTTTTCAATATTTTTGAATAAGGGATTTTGTAAAGAAAGTGTGCACTGACTTTTGGAAACTTTTGGAAAGCTTAAAGACTAAAGAGCTTAGGTAAGCAAAGCAAATCAAAAGGAAAAGAAAGGGAATGAATACAAGTTTACTTAAAGCAACATACGTTTTAAGCTTGAAATCTCTAGACATTATTCTAGGCCCCCCCCCAAATAACGTCAGAAAGCTGCTTGCTGGACTGCCCCGTTTGCTTGAAT